TCTTAGCGATTATGGTAGTAATGTAAGTTGTAGAGTCAGTGTTAAAGAAAATGCAATTTCGGATCATAAACTTATATTACTTGATATTAAAACATCTGTGCAGTTCCATAAACCAAAAGTTGATTATGAGGTAAAATCTGTAGTCTATCAAAAATGTGTAAACTTATTTAGACAAAAAATTTTAAGCAAAAATGTAACAACTTTTCAAGAATTAATTAATTTAATTGAAGACTGCAAAAGTAAATCGGTATATATAAAAAAATTAAGAATACATACAAATAACACCTGGATAAATAATGAAGTCCTTGAGCTTATCAAAAAAAGAGATAAATTATATAAAAGAAAGATTAACCAACCAGAAAGCTTAACTATCATCTCTGAATTTAAAAACATCAAAAATAAAATAAACAATAAAATACGTGCTTTGAAGAACCGTTATTTCCAAACTAAATGGAGCTTAGCTGGAAACAATGTAAAGAAACAATGGGCTTTTATAAACAGCCTAATAAAAAATAAGGAGTATAAAGTAAGGATTGATCAACTAGTAACTGAAAATAACATTATTAACACTCAACTTGATATTGCAAATAATTTAAATAAATACTTTTCTCGGGTCGGTGGATCAACTGTTGAAAATTCGGAAGCAGAGATTCAGCAGTTGAATGAATTTATTTCTGTTGGTGAGGTTCACAACGAAGATTCTATTTCGATAACATTAACTAATAAAGAAGAGTTGTTGGAAGTTGTGAAAGAACTAAAAATAAACTCAGCACCTGGATATGACGGTATCACGGTTAAGGATGTAAATAATCTTGGAGAATACTTAATACCTGTTTTAGTACGATTAATCAATGAAACTATACAAAAAGGAATGTTTCCATCAGAATTGAAAATAATTAAAATAACCCCACTTTTTAAGTCGGGAGATATTAAATGTATGAACAATTACAGGCCTATTTCAGTGGTGTGTGTATTCTCTAAGATTATAGAAAAATTAATAAAAAAAGAATGTTATCTTTCATTGTTACTCACAATATATTGATTGATGAATTTCAATATGGTTTTATAACGAACAGTAGCACACTTAGTGCGGTTGTTGATTTTGTGGACTACATTTCAATGGCTCTAGATAAACAACAAATAGTTGTAGCTGTTTTCATTGACCTAAAAAAAGCTTTTGACGTAGTAAGCGTAGACATTCTTTTAGATAAATTGTTTAAAATGGGATTTAGAGGTGTTTCGTACAGCTTGATTAAGTCTTATTTATATGACAGAAAACAGTACATGAAGCTTGGAGACATTGATAGTGAATGGTTATCTAGCACCTATGGAGTACCACAGGGGTCAGTTCTTGGACCTCTGTTATACAGTCTTTATGTACTGAATCTCAAGTTGGCCAATCTGAGGGGAAGATATTTTACCTTTGCAGATGACACTGTACTGGTATATACTGGAACAGACGAAATTGCTTTAACGAATCTTATTAATGATGACCTGAATAGTTATCTTAAATGGCTGTTTTCGAATAGATTAAAAATTAACATTGAAAAAACAAAATACATTATATTTAAACAAAAAAATAAGATAGTTAGCAATAATCTAAATATTAACATAAATAATATAGCGCTAGAAAAAGTGTCAAGTATTAAATATTTGGGATTACTGATAGATGAAAGTTTAAATTGATCACTTCACGTAAATGGAATTTGTGATAAAATAGTTTCAATGCTATCTGCCTTATATAAGAGTCGAGATTATTTGTCCAACAAAAGCAAATTTCAAATTTATAATGCCTTCTTTCTTACACATTTTAGGTACCTCTTGCCAGTATGGGGTATGTGCGGTGAAGTTAATTTTAATAAAGCTCAAGTTTTACAAAATAAAGTTCTGAAAATATTGTTTAGTTTTGATTGGCTTACAAGTTCTAATACACTTTATTCAAATTTAAATTTAAACAAATTAAGAGTGTTATTGGAGGTGGAACAATGTAAACTTGTTTATAAAATTATAAATAATCTACTAAAAAGTAACATAAATATTAGGTTCTACCATAACGTGCATGATCACCAAACAAGATAACTAAATAATGTTTATCAAATTTCCACAAGAACTAACATAGGTTTAAAAAATCCGATCACAGACGCAATTAAGAAATTTAATAATTTACCTCATTGTATAAAAGATTCAAATAACTATAGAAGTTTTGTTAGAGAATTGGAAGATTGTAAAAATGTTAATGATTTTATTTGTTGAAATTATGAGCAACATTGCAGTGTACCTGTAGTTCATAGATATTAATTATTGTCTTGTTATTCTCGGGGCCAGTGTTTGCAAACACTGATTAGGGAATTATTGTTATAACTGGTTATACTTTTTGTATTATTGTGTTTAAATAAATTATTTCAAAAAAAAAATGTTTCATTCTGTGTTCAGGTTTCACCATATATTTTTATATATTACAATTTTCATTCCAACAACAAACTCATGGCCAACTAAGGAAATGCATCACTGAATTTAGGACTGAAAAATCTATTTTAACGTACAAAATTCCAATGCGAGGTCCATATGAAAAAACATCGTTGATGATGGAATTCGGAAGAATAAACCTCGAATTGAAAATTTGATTACGTCATCTTGTAGGGGAGGAAAGTTGGCAATAACAATCTCGTATCAAGTAAAGTCAAAAAATTAAAATTATTTTGTGATAAATCTGGTGCTTGAAACAACTGAATATTTAATAGTTTCAAGGCCTACCTAGGAAATTCTGTTCTTTTAAATAACTGTTGGCATCGTCAATGGAATAATATACATTCTTTGAATCAGAACTAAAAACTCTATTCACCTGTGCAAAACCTCAATATGACGTCCTTAAGAAAAAAAGATTATGCTGGAGAACAAGATACTAAGGGCCGTATCGTCATTTGTTCCTACAATTATTGTAGGACGCCTTTATGGCCTCCTGGACTTTCATAGTCTGTCCCGTCATTCAGGAGGGCGCTCTATTTTGAGGCAAAGCTACAAGTATCTATTTGCATCAAATTGTTCATGCTTTTGGTTTTCATCATCTGTTTTATCAGCCTAAAATTTCCTACAATTCAAACAGGAAACATGACTAGGAGGGCGCTGACGCTGTTCCGTGTCAGCGTCAGAGCTCTCCTATTGTGAGGTTATGTTTTTTTTAATCTTAAGAAATTTTAGGTTTATATACGAGATGCTAAAAATCAGGTTTTATCAACCTGAAATTTCTTGGAATTCATGAAGAAAATATAACCGCAAAATAGAGCGCGATCACGAAATAGTAGAAATGTAAAAATACCCCTGCGTTTCTGAAGGACATGCAAACCTATCAAGGAGGCCATAAAGGCGTCCTACAATAATTGTAGAAACGTTACAAATAAAGACAGGAAAAAATTAAAACCATTTTGCGAAAATCCAATTTTTCCGTCTCCTTTTGGAAGTACTTTGAATTTCGAAACTTTCTAAGCAGCATTTTGCTAGTTATCTAAATATGCAACTTTGTCCCCATTAAGCGACTCTGTATCCCTTACCGTATCGAGATCGCAATGATGAGACTTTAATTTGAAACAACTTATACAGAAAGTTTAGGAAGAACTGATGCCATGTCTCCTGCCTGCATCTGTGCAAACTGGTTATCGAGTAGGGTATGCGAACATCACGGAATAGTGATGTTTGAGTAGGGGATGCGAATGCTTTGTTTCAACAAGCTGTTGCGGACTACCTTAGGAGCAACGAATTCGAAGAGATTAGAAGAAGCAAAGCCCATATAAACATAAACACTGCATTGTTTGTTCAGCAAGGCAGAAATACTATTTCTGAGAATGTGGCAACATCATCCAGTTTCGCCATTTATACTCCTAATATTGACTAGCAGTGTAGTATTGGTTACAACATACTGCATGACACTTGAAAAGCTATTCCATGTTTATCAGTACTCACTCGAGGTAACTATAATATAAAGCAAACAATTTGAAAATAAATAGTTGAATCTGACCAAAGGGATACAAATGGAACAGATTGAATTATAAAAAGGCTTATCTAGTTCCTCAAATATGATATAGACTGAGGTCGAGATTCTACGTCAGAATGCGTCTCCATGCATTTAATATGGCAGGGATAAAAGGCTCAATTTATAGGTCACGTGAAATACGAATTCTTCTAATTCAGGTTATAAAATAACCACCTTATTGATGAGCTCAAGTGAGGTGGTTGCCTCACTTAAATGGTTGTAAAACAACCACCACCTTTCACTGTAGATTTCTTGCAGCTGCAGTAACGGAAAACAATGACGTTTCTATTGTACTATCAGGGAGAATCTAATGACACCTCAAATGTAAGAATCATTGTAGCCTGTGGAGTAAAAATTCGAAAATTAAAATAGTCGGTCCATCAGCTTTATTTTATGAAATTTTAATGCAGCTAGTGTGACTCGCAATGCTAAAATGAATCCAACAATACCTCAAGTCGCAATAGATCAAACCATTTAGAACGTAGCCCATGAAACAGGATTTTATATGTCTGGATACATATAGTACATGCACATCAACGCAAAAAAAACAACTTAACCCTCCTTGTGGGGCAGTCGAGAAAAGGGGCGGTGTACTATTGATACAAAGTTCCATCATGCTTATTCAGCTGCGATAACAGCTTCCTTTCAACCTATTGTTCTTTGTATTTTGATCTATTGTCTATTGTAAGCATCGTCAGCGGAAAGCCAAGTGTGTCTGAGCCTAAACGCCTTGTAAGCAGAGATTAAATAGGTACTGCGTATCTGTACCATTGTTCAATACCCTCTGCGAAACCGTAATTTACGCATAGTCATCAGTTCAACACCCCGTTAGACTCCGTCATAGTCAGATCATTGTAACTTGTAATTTTGTAACGGACTGTGGAGCTAGCCACATACCAGTAACAGTATGTGGCAAATGAGCTTCATCTCTCATTCTCTCTCTCACAAACACACAACATACCAATGTACATACCGTGAATACCAGCTTGATCTCTTCCTGTGTCAGCTTTCTTTGAGTGAACAAAACTTTTGTCCACTCTTTATAGGCTCTTATGGAGCCATTCATGGCCATTGATCTTCTCAATTTGAAACCCAGGTTGACGAATACTTTACGCGGTCCACAATGGATACTAGACTTTTTCGGTAACGGAAAGATTATGAAGTATGCTATGAATACTTTACGTCGTCATCCTTGACTTTGCATTGGATATATTATATTTTGGGGATAATTGTAATTAGTAAATATTGATTATACCATTGAATAACATACAGGGTCCAATAAGTACCACGACAAGGTTAAGAAGAAGGTAGGCTTTGGACTAACCTCCCAAATAACAAAGACTTACCTGTATAAAAGTGTCACCGTTTTTGAGATACTGAATTTTTTCTTAAATTTTAAAAAAGCGAACCTTTTCATCGGTGGTCTTTAGCTATATGTACAAATCAGGTTATAATTTGTTCATTTTTTCTATAAAACACTTCTAGATAGTTGCTTTATCATATACAAATGCAATGGAGTTAAAAGATGTTAACGAACCATGATAAAATAAGGACTGTTTTGGGATTTATAACCTTCTGATATTGTTTCCTCAACTTTCATAAAATCATATCAGGAGCAGGTAATAATAATGTAACTTTGTACTATTTAACTTGTCACTGATCGGTAACCAGTGCAACTTGAATTTAAATCCAATAAATACATTGTAGTGTGCGTCAGTCACTTACACTTTTTTCTATTCCAAATAGTACGTGATGCCTTGCTGAAATCAATGAGCAGTCTTTCTATTCAATATAATGCAGTTATAGCCCAGTAAATTTTTGTTTCACCACAGATGGTCAAAGTTGAGGAAAAAATGTCAGAAGGTTATAACTCCCAAAATAGTCCTTATTTGATCATGGTTCCTTAATACCTTTTAATTACATTGCATTTGTATATGATAAAGAAACTATCTAGAAGTATTTTATAGAGAAAATGTATAACCTTATTTGTTCATGTAGCTAAAGACCACAGATGAAAAGGTTCGTTTTTTAAAATTTAAGAAAAAATTCAATATCTCAAAAACGGTGACACTTTTATATAGGTAGGTAAGTTTTTGTTATTGGGGAGGTCAGTCCAAAGCGTACCTTCTCCTTAAGGTTATCGTGGTACTTATTGTACACCCTGTATAGATACAATGGGACAGTGGCGGAACACAAAAATGAATTCCGAAATATTCTTTGAAAACAGTTAATAGATGACGATAGGATCTTCGTTTCCTAGTGGTTATTTTAATTGGGTATTTTCATTCATTCACTAAGGTATTCCACCAGAAAAGGTCCAATCAAAATAGGCATTAGAGGTGGCAACGGGGACTGAAACCACCCAATACTTGCTATTTCACCTATGAATACCTGAGTTTTAAGATATATGTGTGCGTGAGACACATACATGTGAGTACATGTATGTGTTTGTTGAGCACTAGAAAACGTAACCACACACGATTTTCACCGGTTAACTTCTCATAAATACTAAGGTTTAGAGTATGGTTTATCATAAAGGTACACAGGATGTCCAACATACGTTTATGTTCGGCTATGTACAGTCCCCCTCAAAAAGATCACCGTACTGTTTTTTCAACCGGACATGGTATCACGCTGAAGTTCGGGGTGACGAAATCGATATATATTTCAGCGTAAAAATCGCAGTCCAAAATTTTGAAATGGCGGCTGGCACCATTTTGGAGCATTTTTTTGAAAGGGATGAGGAGTAATGCCATACCACATTTTCAAACTCTTTATGTGCACCCTGTATCCCAGCTATGTAGAATAACAATCTTTGGAAATTACGGAGCGATAGGCTGTCATACTTGAGAAACAAAGAAACATATAGAATAGTTCGTTATATCAATATTCTTTTCTCCGTCGGGTCTATCCAAATAGCTACATAACTTATTGCATAATTTCTTAATAATTTTTAAATATTGTATTGTTTTCAAGCACTAAATTCACGCTATAGCTTTGTATTGGCATAGTTGTAATTTCAATTATATTTATATTCAAAATTCAGAAATCGTATTCAGCCTAATCCAACAAAAACCGGGCCAACACTAAGTTGATGATGGTGATGGATGTTATTTATTGCCTGATATCTGGTTATATGAGGCCAGAAATACGTTAATAAAATCAAAAGACAACAAAAGTGTTTTTCCTCATTTAACCAAAGTTGTAATCATTTTCAAGATGCTCCCCCATCATTCACACAAAGCATTTAATAAAACACCCCACCATAATAATATATTCCTTACAAAGTCGGGTCAACAACATATAACTTGCGTAGTGCATAAATCATAATGCATTATTTCACAACCTTCTTCGAACATACACTTAGTGCGATGTCAACGAGTGATCAGACTGTATAAACCACGCGACCCGCTCACGCCTTGAAGCTGAGCTACTGAACGAGCTTCTGCGGCAAACTGACGAGAAGAAGCAGCTGTTAGCCCCGAAGTTTACAGTTGCGCTACGCTGTCGATTCTGCACGTTGCGTCTCGCGTTACAGCAGCGAATGAGAAAGATCGAGATGTAGTTTCAGGTTTAATGTTACTGAATGTATGCATGTCGTGACCAATTTTACATTACCGATAGAGGCAGCACTTATTTTACATGTCAACATGGCATCTGTTCTGAATAAAGTAGTTTTTAGAAGTGTAACTTGTACTATATCGTTGCTAAATGAATATGAAAGTGAGGTTAAAAGACTTGCCGACAAAAGGATGTCCAATTACTATGCGGGCCACGCAAATACCAATCAAAACGTCAAGAAACCGAGTCCGGAACGTCTTTCACACGTTAGTCCGTCCTTCTTAAACTACATTATTATTTACATATTGAAGTAGATACTGTGTGTTGGCTAAAAGATTGTGCTTGTTTATCAACCTACTATGTTATTTTACTTATGTAAAAAGTCAAATTCATCTTAATTTCAGTTTGAGGTTATTCGTCAAATAAAAGGGAGTAGGGTGACCACGCGAAGTATATAAATATTCTATTCTAATTTCCTAAAGTTTCTAAAGGGTGGGCCATCCGCAGGCTTCATTTTTAAATTGGTATTGAAACTACACTCTTCAATAATATGTAACACTCGATACTTTATTCAGAAGAATACATCTTCCGATTATTTATGAAAAACAATAAATTGCAGTTAAATGGCTGCCGCGCCTGGCCTGGCAGTAGTCCATCCTCTTAACCGAATTTTGAAGCATAGTTTGTGGGTATATTTCATCAATAGCTCGACGTATATTTTCCTTTAAGAACACCAGTTGTTTGAGGGTCGTTTGTGTAACAGTAGTCCTTAACAGTACCCCATAGGAAGTAATCCATGCGCGTCAAATCACAACTGCGGGCTGGCCAATAAACGTCTCCAAAACGGCTGATAACGCGATGATCGAACTTAGTGTGTAAAAGATCAATTGTTTCACGGCTGGTGTGGCATGTTGCGCTACCCTGCTGGAACCAGAGATTGTGCAAGTGCATGTCGTCTAAGAGTGGCCACAAAAAACTTCTCAACATGTCTCTATAGCGTTCTCCGTTTACCGTCACACTGTTACCATCTTCAGCTTGAAAAAGGTAGGGAGCAATAATTCCATCACTCCAAAAGTCACACCAAACAGTTACTCTTTTTGGATGCATTGGTTTTTCTATGACAACATGTGTATTTTCAGAACCCCAAATCATACAGCTCTGCTTGTTAACGTAACCTCCCAGATAGAAATGGGCTTCGTCTGAAAAGATGATTTGACGACCAAAATTGTCGTCCGTTTCCAAATTGATTTAGAGCCACACAGAGAAACGATATCGAAGCGGATGGTCATTTTGTTTCAACTCTTGCACAAGTTGTACCTTATAAGGAAATAATCCCAGGTCGTTATGCAATATTACCCGCACAGAAGTGTGATTGATCCCACTTGTTGTGCTCTGTGACGAGTTGACACTCTTGCGTTTTCATGCACACTCTGGGCAGCGGCAGCAATGTTTTCAGCTGTACGTAATGATCTAACACGTTCATACCTTCTGTTATCCACAAGCAGGCCAGTTTCACGAACCTATTCACAAATTTTGGTATACCCGTCGTGGACGGAGCTTCATTCGGACCAAATAGTCTTCTCAATTTTCGCATGTTTCCGCAACACAGCACTCACTTTGAAAACCGGTTTTCAATATTTGTCACCTTTGTTCAAGATTAAAACGATCCATTGCTCACAGCGGAAGTTTGACACAATATGTCTGTCAATACGTTGAGCATGGAAGTGTTACCAACTTAAATAAAAACCAACTGATGACCCACCCTTTAGTTTTCATAAGAATGTTTGTCGCACTTGAAGAATTCGTAATATATTCTGGATTCTTATTGAATATCTTATGGACACTATTTTACTATGTGGTCAATCGTGGACGACTAAATCGTTGGTGTTACGTGCATGTACGGCCACAGCCTTCACAACTAGAAGCTGGTAGCAGGCTGAAGTAGTACTTAATTCTAAACCAGACAGAGCTAGTTATACTGACCCGAAAGATTATCATCCGATTATTATTTCATGTTTTGTGCTCAAGACATTGGAAAGGATAATTGATAGATTTTTAAGGGATGGCCCGCTGGAGAGCTGTACAATTCATTCGAATCAGTTCGCATACCAGGCTGGGAAATCGACTGATTTGGTCTTACATGATCTGGTCGATAAGCTGAGAAAGAAGTGGCACTTGTGGCCTACTTGGAGGTTGAAGGTGTATTCAGTTGCACTAAAACCGACTCTATCGGAGATATCGTGGTTAGGTACAGGGTTGGATCAATCTTAGTTGGCTGGGTTATATCCACTCTAGAGGGTCGTGTAGCAACTGAACGACGTATGTTGCAACGTCGGTACAGCTTGGGGCTGTCCACAAGGCGGAGTTGTATCACCCTTATTGTGCTGGTTCGTGGTGCACGATCTCCTCGTTGGGCTGGTCAGTGCGGATCTTTATGTGCAAGTCTAGGCTGACTGTTTAAGCATAGTGGAGGTCGATCTTTCTGTCAACGCTGGAAAGATGGAGCAAGATTCTATTCACTAGGAGAAGGAAGCTTGTCTTACCGACTTCCTTTTGGGACTAGTTCTATCCCAATCAGTAAAGGATTCAGGAATTATCTTGGACCATAGACTGAATTGGACAGAGCATGCTGAGTAGAAGATTAATTATGATCGCAACTCATTATGGACTTGCAGACGTGCTGCCAGAGTGAGGTGGAAGCTTAAGCCCAAAGTGGTTCACTGGCTCTATATGACGATAGAACGACCATGTCTTTAGTATGGCTCCTTGCTTTGGTGGCCTTGCATTGGAACCGACATAAACTTATCAAAATTCAGCATTTGGCTTGTACTAGCATTAAAGCCGAAGTGGAACTCCAGAAGCCGGAAGGTCTCCGAAGGGAGTGGCCAGGTCTGGTACACGGACGGCTCGGTTACTAAAGAGGGCTGGAGTCTTTGGGCCTATAACTATGATACGAGGGTGGTCCCAGAAGTACCCGACCTGACCTAGAGATGGAGATAGTTGTTTGCAAAATATCATTGTATTAGAAAGTATGCAACCTATAAAGCATATGTGTCAAGTTTGAAGACGCCACGTTGTTTAGTATTTGTTATATCGTCATATATCTCACTCTCGGCGGATACACCACCATATCCAGGCGGCAATCTAGGCGATTCTGGCTTGCGTATCCCGCATTCTGGAAGGGGAATGGCCGAAAAAGAATAAAAATCTCTTCCGAAAGCCAGGATATGACGAAAGCAGCAGGGGTACCGGGGCACGATGGGATAAAGGGCAATGATACGGCGGACGCTCTTGCGAAAGCACGATCAGCGAGCAAGCTTGTTGGTCCTGAGCCAGCCCTTGAGGTGCCCGCGCAAAGAGTGAGAAGGAAAATGGAGAAGTCGAATGCTAGACAGCACTCAGAAATGCTCAGTGAAAGTGTTAAGGATGCACACTTTTGCTTATCTCGGGATAGAACCTCAGGTTGTTGAGGGGACTGTTGTCTGGACATAACACCATGAGGCGCCACCTGCATGTGATGGGGGTGGCTGAGGATTTCATGTGTGTGCGCTGCATGGTAGAGGAGGAGTCCTTGGCGCATGTTTTGTGTCGCTGTGAGGCTCTGAGCTACTACAGGCCAGGCTATACCGCGGTCAAAAACTTTGGATCCCATCCCCAGAATGTTAAGGAGCTGGGACTCAGGGCTATACCCGACCTTGCTAGAAGGGCGGAGCTTGATGCTTATGAAATGGTGCATGAGGGCCCGTTTATGTGGCATATGTGCCGGAAGCTCATGGTGACCGGTAATTTCGTTATTCATTCATCAATTGAAATCGTTAAGCGTCGACGATTTAGCGATATGTTCAATCGTGGATGGTCAAGTTTAGTTGGCCCTTTCATGAAATGCGATCGTTTTTTAAAATGTACAATTCTACGGTATGGCCACGACATGTACTGTACACGCTATTGTTCTCGACACACTTAAGGAAATTTGAGTAATCTGAGCTGCGAAAACTCGATTTCGCGAAGTTTCAGAAACATGTCTACAATGGACCACCTGAGCTAGAGAAAACTCCACGAAACAATACTCAGTCCTTCCCGTTGTTCTGCATTGCGAACTATGCTACCAGTTTATGTTAGAATATCATCTAAGATGTGGATGTCTGCTTCTTTCATGGACGGCTTTGTAGAAACTTTTGGTATTGCGGCAATGAATTACTTTTCTGCGTATATGTTTTGCAAAAAGGTCTATCTGTGTTTCTGCTAGTATATTCTATTTCTATTTTTCATTCACTTTTTGTTTTATTTGTGAGTTCTAAACTAATCTTTCCTCTTTGTAGATTTGTATCAAGTCAGTCAACCTAGATGACTTTTGTCCGTGAAATAGAAAATTTTGCTTAATACATTCTTCAAAGACATAAACAAAATTACCGATTGCCCATTATATAACAAACAGTAGGCATGCGAAGTAAAAAGGGTTGCATAAAAGCACGAAACAACACGATTTATTCAGTGCATGTGTTTATACAGTTCACCTGTAAGATTGTAGGAATATTTCAAATATTTGAATGAAGACAGCTTTGGTGAGAATTGGATATCAGTAAACGTATAGGTTTGATGGTATCAACCGATTTCAAATTTCACGACCTATTACAAAGTGCATTCCTAGATGGAATATTCGCTAAGACGTTCCAGCAGCATGTCGCTCGAAATGTTGAAAGCATTACGTTTGAATTCCTTGTTGCATTCAAATATCCGTAAATAAATCGTCTTTTGAGTAGAAGGGTTGAACGATAGCCCTAGATGCTAATTGGTCAAGACACGACAACCTACTTTCATATTGAGTTATATTAATTCCATCAGCAGGGGGGAACCACCTCGCAGACAATATTACCGACATACGAAATGGA